TTCTTGAAGCCCCAACCTTGGCTCTCTGTCCTGCCTGGTCCCAGACACACTAAGTCTGTGTCATCTTTGCTGTCTGCTACTTGCTAAATGGATCCCACAGGAGAGTGACTAACCCAAACAGAGGCCAACCATACATCACCTTTTTTTTCCCCCAGCAGAGTTAAGCCCAACTGGCATTCTGAAGGGCAAAACCACTTTCTTAAGCCACGCCTGATGGTACCAGCCTGTAATCACAGCTCCTCCAAAGACTCCCAAGTGCAAGACCTGCTGGGGCTATAGTTGAGTTCAAGATCACCTTGGGTAACTTACACCCTGTCTCAAAAACTAAAGGTAAGAGCCAGGTGTGGTGATACATGGCTCTGAGTCCCAGCACTCAAGACGCAGAAGCAGACAGATCTCTGAAACTGAGGCCAGCCTGGTCTACATGGTGAGTTCCATATCAGCTGGAGCAACAAAACAAAACAAAAATCAAAAGTAAACAAGGGGGCAGGAGTATATCTCAGTGGTAGAGTGTACCCGCATAAGTCCAGTCCTCATCTCCTGGAGGGAAAAACACTTTTTCGTTGCTAAGTCTTTGTGCTGGGTAGCTTGTTGACACACCTCAGTGGAAGGAACCTCTATTGAGGAATTATCTCCATTGGACTGGCCTGTGGCCACGTCTGTGGGGTATTTTCTTGATTACTGAGGAAGGTGGGAGGGCCCAGCCCACTGTGGGTGGTGCCACCCCTGGGCTGGTGGTCTTGTGTTGTGTAAGCAAGCAGGCTGAACCTGGGTCAAGGGAGCAAGCCAGTGAGCAGCGTTCCTCCATGGTCTGCTTCAGCTCCGCCCTGGGCTCCTGCTCTCTCTCCCTCCATGATGAACTGTGAGCGGAGATGAGATAAACCCTTCCCTCCCCAACTTGGCTTTAGTCAGTGTTTTTATCACAGTAATGGAGATGCTAACTGAAACAGTTTGCTGCACAATTTCTGTCTAAAATCTTCTCTAAAAGTTGTTGCAATGTGTTTTTACTTTTATTTTGTGATGAAGAATGCCGCTGACATCTTTCTTCCAAAGCAGAGACAACCTCCGGGACTTCTGACATCTGTCTGTATGACATCTGTCCATTGCCCCACAGGAAATGGAAAATACAGGGCAACCCAGTGGACTGGAACTGAATCAGCCTGGGGTGGGAGTCACTCTGGACTCTAGTTCCCCGCCTTGCTCTTCCAGTGGAGGGAAGAGTCCATGTTTCCATCCCCAGCAACCACAGAGATGAGAACAATGAGATACCACATGTGAGCTATTTGTCAAGCATTCAGGCAAGCAGGGTGGTCCTCCAACAACTGTGCTCACTATACCCTGAGGGAAACATGCCCCAACAGGTGGACCCAGCTCATCACAGACCACAGACCACACTGCTCCGATGTGACCAAGCTTCATTTCATGGAGGGCTCAGCAGACCACTTGAGCATGATCAGTCCTCTCATATGTCAACAAAGCTTCAATAGGACACATTTAGGCCCATGTGCCTGCACATATGCATGTTTGTGGTTTATAAGTATGTGTTTGTGTGGCTGGTGCTGTGTGTGTATATGTGTGTGTGTGTCTTTGTGTATGGTTTACAGGTGTATAAACACTGAAGTTTATGGTGTGTGGTCCTTGGGTATGTGGTGTGTATATGTTGTGGGTCTGTGTGGTTTATGGTTACTTCTAGTGTGAGTGTGTGTGTGTTTTATGACTGCTTCCAGAGTGTGTGTGTACATGTGCCTGTGTGGTTTATGGTAGCTTCTAAGGTGCGTGTATATATGTCTGTATGATTTATAGTTGCTTCCAGGGTGTGTGAATGTTTGTGTTTGTGTGTGCGTTCGTGTATGTGTGGTTTATGGTTGTTTTATATGTATGTGGGGGGGGTATGGTTCTTCAAGGTGTATTTATGTGTATAGTTTATGGTTGTTTCCACAGTGTATGTGTGTTGGGGGGGCTCATGGTTGCTTTCAAGGTAAAGGCATCTTTGTGTCTGTCTTTGTGGTTTATGGTTGGCCCAGGGTCCAACTGCAAAGCTTACAGGCTGCATCACACGTCTTCAGGCCTGAAAAGCCTAAAGCCTACTATCTGATTCCTTGTGGGGAGAGAAAAAAAAAAACCTGGCCCAGCTACTATTCTGACTGGAATTATTTCACTTGGCCGGGAGATTTTGATAAAACACATACTTAAAAATCTTTGATTCAAATTCATATTGTTCTGAGAAAAAAGTCAATGGCTAGGTTTAGGGCTCAAGTTAGCACAATGTCTCTGCTTTGGGGCACAGTGTGGTTGTGATCTGAAAAGAGCATTTTCACAAACAGAACAAAGCGGGTAGGTGAAATGGAATGGCTTTTGCTCTGGAAGAAGTCTTTCACTCAAGGTTGAACATGCACTGCTCTCTCCAGAATTCTGATTTGAAGCATCTATCTATATTGCACTGGCCAAACTAATCCTATTTTCACCAAAGAGCCAGACATTATTTGTTGGCACCTTGCTTTTCTCATAAATAGAAGCATGCCCTCTCCCAAGTTCTTTCACTGACACCTCTTGAAAGCTAAACATCTGAAATGAAATGCGGTCTCCCAAACACTTGATGTATTTTATTCTATTAAGACTGTCTTTTGAAGTTAAATGCATCTTAACAATAACTTCGCAGCATATTCAGAATTGAAACCCAGCATCCCAGCTCCCCCTGCAAACGCCTGATCACACGTGATACTTTCATCTCATTTTTAAAAACCTTTTACTATGGAAAATTTCAAATATGCAAAAACAGTCCCCAGCCACCAGCTTCTAGAGCGTCAACATTCTGCCATTTTTCCAGTGCCTCCCTCCTCCTGGTAGTCTATTGAGCATTTGTTAGAGCGTTTGAAAGCTGATTTCACACATTGTCTTTTTGTTCATGAATGCTTATTTTTGTTAGGTCTCTTCCTTTGAAGAAAAACATGAAACCATTATCACAGCCAACAAAACAAATAATAATTTTTAATACTACCAAGTTCAGTGTTCCCCAACTGTCTCCACATCCTTTTTGTAGTGGATCTGTTAACTATGGATCCAAACATGAACACATGCTGTATGTTTCTGATAGCTTTCTCGTATTATACCCGCCCTAGATCCATCTCGTTTCTCGTACATCCATCACTGACATACGTTTAAATTCTAACTGGACAAGCAGATCTTACCAATAGTAGCACGTCGTCAGCCTCCACACGCTATAAGCAAACTCTGACACTCAAAGCCTTTCAGACCCTTAGGCAGACTCTTAAGATTAAGTTCCACTTCTACCTGTAATCCTACCTGAAAACCAGTATGCAGGCCACCCCCACACTTTTGCTCTCGAGGAGGAATTTAGATTGCTTCAACAAGTCCATTCTATAAAATTAAATCTTTTCTGTGTTTCAATGGCCCAAAGACTCCGAATGATTTTTTTTTAAAAAGGCAGCCATTTGTTAACGGTTTCTTTTTGAAATTAGCCAAAATTAATCAAGAATCACAAAGCAAATCAGATCAGCCTCAGAATCCATTACTGTTAACAGTAACAACATTAATTTGTACCTTAATTTGTATCTAGATCATACAGCACATGAGGCTGTAAAAACGATGACCCAAGTTCTTGCCCAAAGGAACGTGTTCTAAAGTAAACCAAGAAGCAGCCCATCATTTAGATGAAACTGCCCCAGGAGACCACAGAGACAGTACCACCCAAACTAACATCCATGCCCCAACTACTGCATTAAGAGTACTTTTTAGGTCAATCTACACAGCAGAATGAAAAGAACAAGAGTTGGAAGGAACAGAATTTGTCTGTTCTGCCATTGATGCCACACTAGACGAGTTATTTAACCTCAGCCTCATCATTAGTAAGACAGGCAAATCCAAACTACTTCACAGAGAAGCAGCCAGTGTTTGCTGAATACTTATCATGCTCAGGGTTCATGTCACCTTCTTCCGTGGTTTATTTAATCCCCACAAAAGCTCTTTGAGGCAGGCTGCTCATTTTGCAGATAAAATGACCAAGGCTTTAAGGGGTGTGGGGATCTGCCTCAGAGCACACCCGCTAAGAAGTGACACAAGACTTCACCTGAAGGTGATCTGACTCCAGAACTAGGCTCTTCACCAATGACTGTCCTGCCTCCAGTGTCATCCCACTCTAACACACTTGCCCCCTCCCCTCTGGAAGAGATAAAGTATAAAGGGTTTAACACCACCACACAGTCTATGGCAAGTCTTCAGTCAACACCAAGGTATGGCCGGGGACTTAGGTAGGGAACGGAAGAGGACAGGAAGTACTATGCCAGACTGCGACTCAGGAAGCCTGGGTTATTATTGGCTGTTTGGGCACCTTATGCAGGCCTCCTACACCAGCCCGCCTCCCAGGGTTTGCTACTTTTCTGTAATCTATGTACAGTCCCCTCTGGCCCCTAAAGGAGCTTCTGAGGATGGTGGCTGCGTTCGGTTCACCTTGTAACAGGTCCACAACCCAACACATGCCCTGGGAATGGAAGAGGTGAGAGCTCAAGAAATGAATGTGTGTTGAACAGACAGGCAAATGCTTCATTCATTCACCACATTATGAACTTGCACTTGAAGGTACCAACTCTCTCATCTGCTGTCCCTTAAAATGATTCCAAAGAAAAAGAGCTGGAAAGGTCAAGCGGAGAGAGGTCCAACGCAAAAGGAGGAGTGTCTCCATGGAAGCATGGGGCTGGGCCCCCCACTCCAAACGGTGGACCGTCCAGGGCTCGGACGTCTTTCCCTTCCCGGGTCGCTGGAGGAGAAAGGGACCGGAAGTCAAAGTTTCCAACAAGGACCCCAGCGGTGGGAGCGCCAGGGGAGCGGGGAAGCCACCGTAGGAACCCGGCCGTCGGGGGGTCCGGCGGTCCCAGAGCTCAACGCGGAAGGCCCGGCGGGGGGCACCCCGCCCCGTCGTCGGGCACCCAGTAGTCCCTGGGGAGGAACCAACGGAGGGGCGGGACGCCCCAACTGCTACTTACAGTCGTCTAAGTCATCCTGCAAGTCCACAAAGTACAGGGGGAGCTCTGAAAAAAACAAAAGACACACAAGGAGTTACGCGGGGCTGCGCGGGCAGCGACCGCCGGGCTCGCGGGGGTCCCGGGGAGGGGGAGGGGGAGGGGAACCACCAGGCACCCCCGGAGCCCGGCCCCACTCACCCGCCATCTTGGGATGGGCTAGGGGGCGGGGATGGGGGCGGGGCGAAGCCAGATGCCCCGCCCTCCCCTCGCGCTCCGCCCACCCACCGGGCCCCACTCACCCCCCGTCTTGGGATGAGCTGGAAGGCAGGTCTGGAGGCGTGGCGACGCTAAGGCCACGCCCCTGATCGCCCCGCCCACCAGCTCCCCGGGATGGGGCGGGGCGGGGAGGTGCCGAGTCCCCGCCTCTCCGGGCTCCGCCCACCCGCCTGCAAGGCCGCGCGCCGGCCGCCCCGCCCTCTCCGCGAAGGTGGCTGCCGAGCTGGGCGGGGAGGTCAGGTGACCCGGCCGGCGTCGCAAGATGGCGGCGGCGGCAGCGCCCGGGAGGCC